ACCGGCAAAACCAGAGTGGGGAAGTCCCGGAGGTGGGACTTCCTTGGGAACAGGTGAGGATGGGGGCAGGCTCTGGCAGCCTCAGTGAGCTCCTTAAGGACAGGGCCTTCCCCAGAGCTCCAAAATGGAGTGCTGCTTCTGCCTTAAAGGCTTGACTGGTCCACACCGTGTTTGAACAGAAGACTGGGGTGACTCTGATCTTGTCTAAGACCTCTCTGGTGGGGCCTTGTCAATAGTAACTCAGTTCCCCTCCTTCCTGCCCACCTAGTCTGCCTCCTCTGGTCTCTGATCGGCTGCTATTTGGGTTTTGGTTTCTCTGGTCTCCACCTTAAACTTCCAAATATGGCTTGCATTTGACAAGACAAGTTCATTTGGAGATTTCAAACCTCTGGAGCCTACCAAACTTTGAATCATCTTTTGAAAAGGTTTTTTTTTTTTTTAAATGAAATTTTTTGTTTTTTTTTTATTTTTTTAAATTTGACCAGAGAGGGACAGAGTGAGAGAAAGAGAGAGAGAGCAAGTGAGAAAGCAACTGCCCTTGACCATGTGAGAATCCAGCACCCTTCACCACCATGCCATCTGCCAACCCCTCCTAAAGGTTTTTAAATAGTCTTTTAAACAAATCCTTTTTCTGCCAGCAGGTGGCGTGGTGGTTAAGGCGCTGGACACGCCCTCATGACTGACTGTGGTTGGAGGCCCAGGCCTGGTGGCTTGCTTTCTCACTTTTCCTCTCTCTCTCTCTCTGTGTCTCTCTGTGGTCAAATAAAAATAAGTGAATGAATAAATAACATTAAAATAAATAATCCTTTTAAAAAATCCTTTCTCTAAATGTCTCATTTCTCTCATTAACCTGCCGTAGACATGTTGTCTATGAACAATGTGAGTGATTATGATGGTTTAAAACGGCAGCAATAGCCCGATCCCTTAGGCTCCTATCTTTGGTTATAAATGTAAATTAGAAGGACTGGGGGAGGCAAAAGAAGGGCCAGCATTTATTACATTAACATGAAGAACAGGCAGTGCCCAGGGAACCCAGCCCTGCACCTGGCTAGAGGAAATTCACCTTCGTGTGGACATCGGGGCCTCCTCTGAGTTGATGGGCAGGCTAGTGACACAGGCAGAAAGAAAGGAGGTGGAGAGGGGAGAGAGAGAGAGAGAGAGAGAGGGGGGAAAGAAATGGCCAAAGAAGAGTGTCTGGGAACCCCAGCGAAGGCTCTAGAAATCCTGGTGTGGATAAACTGGAGGAGGGGCCCCACATTCCCTCCTCCTGGCCTTACTCTGCTATGTGTGCTGTGTCCCGGTGCAAGGGAGACTCAGGGTTAGGAGGACACCGTGCCCCCCATCTCCAACCCGCACCACCCCAGCCCCCCAGAGGACTGCACTGCAATATCTAGAGACACCAGCCTCAGTGTCCCGGACGACATCTTCCTTCATTCGGGTCACCTCTGCTTCTCTGAGTGGCCGCAGAGGCAGACTGTCGGGAGGCGAGCTATGATCAAGTGCAAAATGACGTCCCCGTCGTATGAGGAGCCTCACGGCAGGACACGGTGTCTTGGAACCGTGTGTTGTCCTGGAGCCCTGCACAGTGTGAACAAGCTCACTTTCACTTTTCCTCTCCTGAGGAATTTACATTTTGGCTCATCAAGGCGTCCTTTTTCCTGGCAACTCGGGGACCACATGTGACTTCACAAAAGCCACATGAGCCAATGCCAGATGGCCACTCCCAAGGCAAGTCTCCTTCAACGTGGTTCCAGAGGGGAGCCGATAACTCAGCAAACGGCTGTCCATCACATCTCCCCGGCTCCCACCCTGCTTCTCTGTGGCCTCCCCATGGCCTGAGGAAGGGGAGAGAAGATGAGGTGGTTTTCACCCCTGAGACTCTTATGACCTTGGGTAACTTAATTTCTCTGAGTCCAACTCGTCAGTCATAAATGTGAATAATAAGGCAGAGTGTAAGGCTGGGGGGGATTAAGAAAAATAGCATACAGCAGGTACCTGGCTTAGCTGTGAGTTTCCAGCCATTGTCAGAGCGAACAAGGACAAAGCTATAATTCCTGGTTTATTTCTTGCTCCTCTCACTCAGGCCTCAGAAGACTGAAAATTGAAGTCAATGGCCCCAAAACACACAGTCTGAGTAGATAGCATTGGATGGGCTTAGAGACCTTGGCTGTGAAAAACTAGATCAGCCAGGCCTAGTAAGTACCACCTCCTAGCATTTACTGAGCCCTCGCAGTGTGCCAGGCCCAGCTTCGAATGAACCAACTCCAACACGCTTGGTCCTCACACTCTTCTGTAAGAAAAGTATCTTTCTTATGAGGAAACCGAGGCAAGGAGGGCTTGGTGCCGTGCCAGGTCACGCAGCTGGAGGATGACAACTGGAATCCAGGCCCGGCTGGCTGGTCTCCTGAGTTCATGCTCTTTAATCAAGGTTCTTTACAGTCTCCACCCAGGAGGAATTCGTTTTAGCTGACACGGGTGCACCTATCAGGCTCAGGAGACCTTGAAAAATACTCGGAAAGGTTAGAATGGGTGACAGGAAAGCGCCGGCACGGGAATTCTTGCTAGATTTAGGATGAGTCTGAGGCCTGAAAGCAAGTAGGCCTTCCTGTCCCCAGGAGGAGAGAGGAGGTGTTCTGTGAAGCAATGATTGACAGCTCACAGTCTCCTTCTGGTCAACCAGGAGTAGCCAGAGGGGAGGACCGTGAAGGGGATGGAACAGTTCCATTTACAGAGCTCGGAGTAACATCAGTGGGTGGGGATAGATGCCAGGAAGAGATGTCGGCCTCTGGGATCATTTATCACCGCCATGACAGCAAAATCCGCCCGCCCGAACCCTTCCTCTCCAGCATTGACTCCAGAGAGACTGCCCACAAATCTCTGTGGATAAGTAATGGCTGAGTGTCTTCATCCAGGGGCATTTTCCTGTTGGAAACTGGAGAACAGTGTGGAGGACTATGGTTTCCTTCCTAGGCAGGACTACCTAAGAACAGTCTAGAGCCTCGTCCCTCTCACCCTGGTAGACATGCTGGATGGTGTTCATCTTGGCTTTCTTCAGGCGTTCTTTGCTTTTGTTTTGTTTTTAGTTGTCAGAGAGCGTGTGCCCCTGCCAGAGAGACAGAAAGCCCTCCCCAGTGTGCTGTGGCCCTCTGCCATCCCTTCGCTTCCACTTCTCCATACTGTTGGGATTTTAGGCCCTTATGCACACGCGCCCCATGTGTTTTCA